CTCAAGTGTCTTCCAGCGCAGATCTGTGGTCATCAAGACCTTGATTCGCTCCAAGCGTACAAATCTCGAGCACATTACAAACCTCCGCCAAAAATGACCGCCTCCATAGAACTCCCCACATATTATTGTTGCCTTTATTGGGCCTGGGAGTTTTTTGCGGATCTGTGCGTCGTTCTGGCGCTTATGGACAACGGAGACCTACGCCCTCTCCTCAATAAGTTCTTATTAGCAAAGCAACCAGCTGGATTTGACCAGCAAAAAGGTACAGTCGCTCGGTAAGTTTGCCATGCTCTCGCCTACTTGCACTCGTTGGCTGCTCCTGTGATCTACCGAGATCTCAAGTCCCGCAACATTCTGCTGAATCAATCGATGGAGGCCAAACTCTCCGACTTTGGCATCTCTCGTGAACGCCTTGCTGGAACGATGACTGCAGGTGTCAGTACTTCGCTGTGGATGGCTCCTGAAGTAATGCTGGGAGAAAGATACGATGACACAGCCGACATGTTCTCGGTTGGTGTGGTGTTATCCGAGTTTGGATGTTCGCACGTTTCTGTACTCGAAGCTGAAGCAGCGGTATCTCAACAGGGAAGGCCATTCGATAACGGACGCGACTCTGTTACAGATGGTCATAACGGGGGCTGCACGGGTTGATTCTTCAAAGGACGGTGATACTGCCCATGTTCAAAATCATGGAACCCTAAATATTGATACAGGATTCATCCCATGTTTTGGCCAGGATTCAGAAAACCCATCAAATCGGATACTTTATTTACGCAAGATTTGAAAGTATCTTTGTATCTTCGGCGTCCTCGAGCTCATATTTTTATAGAGCCCGAAACGCAGCACATGTACAAAAGTCTATGATCGTCTATAATTTGACGTGGATAGTCCATGACTGCTTGAAAAGATTTCGACAAGGTACTGATGAGCAACACGCATACTCACGTCGATGCAGAAAGATGGCAGAAAGAGATAATGAGTCAAGTTAAAGCGATGACGTGTATTAGCAATTAATTACCCCAAGGAGCAGGTGCTTCGCACACACGCACCAGCTGACCGCTTTATGGTGCACGCAACACGCTCCACTTGCGCTACCTCGTACCTGAAAACGTCCGCCACGTCAAACATCCCACATCTCTGCTCTAAACCGTAGCGGTCTGTGTTATCGGCAGAGATTTGTCGTCGTCATCTTGGTCTAGGACAGGTGCAGCTACTTGTGGTTGCAGCGGAAGCAATCGCCCGGTGAGAATATAGTACATC